TGTGGACAGAACTCCGACAATTCTCGGGTCTTCGTCTAGAGAATTCCCGGAGTGGATCCTTGGGGAGGCTTTGGGCAAGAGTGGAACTGTAAGCACGCCAAGCAATGTCGCGGTCAACGCACGGTCCGATTAGTCGGCTGACCGAACATTCAGCCTAACATGCGACGGACGGACGAATGAATGGACGGAGGAACGAACTAGCCGACAAGTCTCCCGACGGAATCTGCATTGCAAATACCGTCCGTATATGACTAATTCTCCCGCCGAGATGGAGCTCCTTCTCTCGAAGGGGAGGGAACCTCCTCTTCATTCAAGCGGTGCTTGCTCCAAATCACAAGACGAACAAGTCGACTTCGCGTCGTACATGTCCGTAATGAGCTGTGGCAACAGCGTATCGGATACGGCCGTCACGTCGAGCCACGCTCTTTACTTTTGCATTTATCGCGGCCGGGAATATTTTGCGCATTCTCTCCGAATACTTCCCATCGTTCTCCTCCAGATTGAGCAAGAACTCTCCAGAATGTTGCGCGGGAAGGAGCCGGACATCGAACCTGGAAACTTTTGTCACCCATGAGCATTGACAAGGATTTTTCCTCGGGCAACAACACATTCCGCATCACCGGCGGCCTCTGCCTGGGACCCACCTCTGGGTCTTCCTCTATCTGCGCCGCACGTAACGCACCGGTACAGGCCTTCGCCGACCGCGGGCTCAGCTGCGACATCTTCTTCGCAAAGCCTTCATCGCGGTCAAGTCATGTGCACTGCGCTCTACACGAACCGCCGACGACCCGGACCCGGACAGGCTTGTCGGTGAACTCACAAAGTCGCCCAGACTGTCGCCCAGCATTGGCATTGGCAGGGAGCCCAATTCCTTGATAGCAGTTCAAGCTTAGAGTCTCCGAAGCTTCCTGAGCAAAGGTGCGCTCGTTCCTCATGATGCCGAGTTTCATTCGTAGACCGAAATAATCGATCTTGACTCCGTGGCATTACACCGCTCAAAAAGAAGGCGGGTCGGGCCGGCTGGAAATTCCGGAGGCTGCCCGCAAAGGTTCCCCGGCCAGCCGTCAAGAAGTATATTTAATCTTCCAACCTTCCATTACTCATCCCTGCGAGTAAATGGCCAGAATGAATCTTCTAAGCTCTATGATCATTCAACGAGTCGATTCTCGAAAGGTTGGCAAGAAAATCTTCAAGAGTGCGCAGAAAGTTCTGATAGGCATCGGTATCGATTTCCGCTAGGCCGCTCAACTCGTCACCTTCCGGCTCACATGCAAAACTTCATCGTCAGGCGTCCCAGACCCTGTCAGGCCTTCAACACATTAGCGGTACCCGAACGTGCAGAGAGAGAAGAATCCATAGTCGCACCGGGAATCATACGTCCATTGCGAATTTCCGCTCCTTGACATTCGGGAAGCGGAAACGCAAGCGATGATTTGTCCTTGAAAGCACTGTAAGTGAAGAAGCCTCTCTCTGAGATTAGCCCCTCTCTGAATAGTCCTCTGTCAAGCTGTTGTCGCGTTCATAGGAGCCTCTCTCCATAAATAAAATGAGTATGTACCAACTTCTCTCTCACACAAGCCGCCCGAGTCTCGGAGAGAAGCTTCGGAGAATCAGAAACAGAGGTTGCCATGAGGAAGAACACGGTAATTCACGCTAAGGGAATATCCATGGTCCGTTCATGGGTGTAGACCCCAGAAGTCGCTTCTCGCGTCCCTGAGCAGAATACAATAAGACTGGAGACTCCAGACAATTCAGCGTCGGTCATCCTTTTATTATTTTTTTCTGAGTGATGTCCAAATCTAGTAGCGTCGTTCTCGCTAGTTGAAATGTCGCAGAAAAATCTGTCCGGGTTGAGCTTCCCAAGTTAGTTCCAGTTTCCTGGAAAGGTTCCAATCAGATCCTCTTCGTCGAAGCTCTGGCGTATCTCTCCGTCCTCCGATGGGCCGCGTATTATTAGGAGAAAAATGAGTGGGACTGTTGCCACGAACAAGTCTAACGAGAGAAGCGTGCACTAGGAAGTCTCCCCGTAATATGTAGAATCTAGGTTCCTCTCGCTGGTCTGTCATCTGCTCGAGGGAAACGGCGATGGCGTGAGGATGTGTCGGCATTCGAAGTTCGACAATGCTGCTCGGTGGGGATTCACGCGCGAAGCGCACTTTCTCTCGGATCTGTCTGACAATGAGTCCGTTCACTCGAACCTTATACGAAATTTCTAGGGGATGTGAATGATTTGAATGATTCCCCCGCTCTCTACATTGAGCGCTCGCGATCGATACGGATAGTGGTTGACTGGCAGTCCGTGCTCGAGCTCGCCGTTTGCATCGAGGTGACGTGCCCATATCCATTGCGTGGCGGGAGCACATTGAGACAAGCGTTCCCGTCTAGGAGACAATTGCCCATCTTGAATCTTTGGGAACTTTGCGCCAAGCAGCCCGATATCCAGGGTGGCAACGACTTTGGCTGCGTCTCGCCGACAAGGGGTTCATTTCAGGATTTTCGCGCGAACCAGACACGAGTTTAGGTAGTCAAGCGTCGGAACGTTCGAACTTGTCAGCTTTCGGCGATGTCGGGAGAAAGCCGACGATCGAAGCTCCACCGTTGCCTAATTACGGTCTTTTCTGTAGAATCTAACTATTCCCTTCCACCGTCAGCGGGGAAAAAAGGAGTGGAGTAACTTTTCAATCGGGATGTTCTCTCGCCCGGGACTCCTCCCAGTGTGATTCCCTGAGCTTCGGGCTCGGAGCGCTGTAGGAAGGAAAACTACACGCTGCTTCTAACCAGCGTTGCCGCATGAGTTGAGACTTCGGTGGTGTAACGCTGCACTCAGGTGTTTCTAAATATAGCCTCAAGACTTCCCCGTCAGAAAAGGGACACGTTCTGAGGGCTTGCTCCTTGCGCTTCACTCGAGCGAATTGATCGCGGGAAGCATCTCCGGAGGGTTTTTGTAAGCGGCTATAGTTTTCAAGACCGGTTTTCCATGGGAATCGAGGAGAAGCAGTCGGAGCCTAACGGTCATGAATGGGCAATGGCCATTCATCCTGAATTATCTGGCAAGCGAGTTATACACCGAGACTCCTCTATGCGTAAATGATCTTGCTCATCTGGTATCACCGGTCTTCCCCTGCTGGGTCTCCTCTATCCCTTGTCAACTCATCATATACTCACCAGGTCTACGCAAGAAAATCTCGCTTGGATATGGACATTCAGTTTCCACTGAGGACCTCGGGAAAACGGTTGGTCGGTGCCTTGGCAGCATGGCAAAGCCCTGGAGTCCTTTCTGATGGAATGAAGACCGTCTGAGCTGTCCTCCAACTTATCGGTCAAGAGCCAGCTGCTGGATCGCAGCGGCGATCTCTTACACGGAATTGACAAGAGAGGCGTCGACATTGGGAGCTCCGGGAAACCTACCTGATCGTCAATGAATTAGGTACGTCGTGAAATATCGGGAGAGGCTTCCGAAACCCCTCGCTGCGAGACTTCAAGCTTCCGAATAGAGATCGACGCTTCAACTTCGTGAACACGATGGTCACAACCAGTTCGAGGTTGAAGATTTCTGAGAGAATATGCCCGACCCTACAACTCCCCCATGTCTCATCGTCAGCGGAGAGGCGATAATGATGAAGGGTCTGGTTCCGGACCGAGCTCCCTCGCCGCGTACGTCTGGAAAATCCGAAGCAATCGAGGCTCCGCTGAATCATTCGAAAGTGAAAAGTCCCAGGATCGATGATTACGCAGACGGTAAACAGCATGACGAGTTTTCTCCCATATTTTCGGCAAACAAACACATTGCACATTTTTTTTCAGCAGATCGGTCGGTCGGAAGCGAGTTTTCTACCTGATTCGATGTCTTCCAATGCGTACAGAAAGGCCATGCCAGGATAATCGGAGGTCGGTGAGCTCATCCCTCGCTCAGAGCATCGGATGTGAGCGCATTCCCCACGTCGACTTCATTTCTGGATTCTCTCCCGCTCGTTTCCAATATTTTCTCGGGAACCTCTCGGCCGGGAAGTCCTGTGGTAGACGCGCACATTCCACGGGGACCGTTGCGTGAGCGGAAATCGCTCTTGAGATCATCGAAGCCATCCTCGAGTTTGTCGATGAGCTTTCACCGCGGGGGAAATTCTCCGTTCGGATCAGCGAGTTGGCTTACGGAGCAGGACTCGGATGAGTGCTCGAGTCAAAGATTACGCAACCACAATGACGACGTTAGTTGTCCCCCCACTCCGAAAAGTTGCCCCGTACCTGACATACGGATACTGGCGTCCGATCCAGATACTGTTTGCCGTGGAACCGACTTCTGAAGCGAATTTGAGGAGCGAGCGGACGGCAGACAGGATCTCCCAAAAAAATACGAGCTTCACGTACATGGTCGATCCATTCCATGGAGTCGATAGAATTAATCTCTGCGGAGTCCCGGGACACGGGAAGAAGGCGGATCCAGCCATTGTATCCGGACCTTAGCACTCTTTCGGAGGGACCGACCGGAGGAAACTCAGGCAGAAAAGAACCTATTTCTCGGAGGGGGCAATCGCCCCGCCGCTAGGTCGTGGCGATTCTCCAAGCGGGCGCGGAAACATCGCGGAATTGTGGGAATCGGCGAACGCTGCGCGTTCGGGACTCACGGAAACTCACGAGCTCCGGTGAGAGCATTGAATGGGATAAGCTCGAGATTCGCTACCGCGAGAAAGATTACTGATGAATAGGCCGCGATTTTTCGCTACATTGCGGGGCGTTTCCCCATAGGAAATCTATGGGAGCCTGAGAATGCCGCGAATTTCCCGCTAAGAAGCCGCGACGAAGGTCGAGCCCCACTGATGAATATCAGTCGTTCCCTCCGTATCTTCTCCGAATGAGGTTCTGAACTCTAGAGCATCTGCACCCTCGTCTGTTCTGCTTCCCTCTGACTACGAGCAATCGTGGCAGAACACCTCTCTCGACCTCGAGTCTGGGCTGAGTCAGGGTAAAATCTTAGCGACGAAACTCTCGAAATCAATACAAACTTTCAGGCGTGAGTGATAGTTTATTGCGCCCCGACAGCCCCGATTCAATCCTTCTTCTGGAGTGCGTTTGACATGAAAAGCTTCGCTAAGTTCTGCGTGGAGAATTTCGATAACTGGTCGCAGTGGGATTCGACCTGACCGGCGAGCAGAACCGAATCGAGCCGCGGTGGCATTGGAATGGGTTTGAACGCTTTGTGGATCTCGTCCTCCGGAAGTAGTGGCTCGTCACGCTGCTTGCGGAGTTGGTTCTCCTGCGATCGTTTGGCCAGGGCCACTTGTTTCTGTTGCGCGTGTCGCATGACCTAGGAGGGTATAAAGACGGAATTAGAGATCCATTTGTTCACTTTGCTGGGAAGATAATAGGAGCGAATTTCAACCGCAGGGGGCGGCTCTCGAGAGCTTCTGACCTGTCTCTGATAGTTCAACATTTTGTTCGTTTCCTGATTCAGAGTATCCACGCATTCCATGGTGGCCTGCAATTGACGCTCGAGCGAGAAGGCGGTCGACATGTCGAGGAATTGCTTTCCGACATGACTCGGAACCATCTCGCTAAGCTCGCACTGGAGTAAATTCATCAGATGCGAGTTCCGGATCTGCACTGGAATCTCTTCGAAGAGCTCCGAATATGAACACTTGTTGTTCTTGAAGGAATCCAAAGTGTATTCTCCCTCGCGACACAATTTGAAGGCCGCCTCCGTGAGACGGAAAGCTCTCAGGGACAGGAATCCTTTCTGAGCTTTAATTGGATCGTACACGAGGAGTATGGATTCTTCGATGTTGTCCTGGTAGCTGAACTGAGACTCGAATAGCGGTCGCGTGAAGAACGATCCAAAGGGTGCCGATTGGTAGAAACCCACGATCATGTGGTCAAGATTCACAGTTCGCATCTGCCGCAGAACCTCCATCTGGTACTCTTGTTCATCGTATTCCTGTTGAGGAGATGAAAGACACTGTGAGTATTATTAATCCTAGGATCGTGTCGGAAGACTGCCCCTGCCAGTCGGGGGAAACGAAGCAATTCGAATGATTCCGGACCATCGACCAGGATTGAGAGAGAGTACTTTACCACCGGTGAGAGCATCTGAAACATTCGAACTTCCTAATAGAAGTTCACTTTTTGTCCGAGGCTCCATCGAGCGCGCTACATCCCATGAGTTTCGAAATAGTGAATATTGCCTTCAGAAAACTCCATATGGATACTTGATCTCGACTCCAGCTGAGGTACTGCTACTAAAGTCCGATTCTTTCGACTCTGAGTGAGGATCGCGAAGGATCGGCTTCGTTATAATTACCTCTTCGTCCCCGTGCCGGGGGCATGGGAAACAGTTTGTGACCTCCACGCAGCGATTGTCCACCATTCCCAAAAGAACCCCTTGAGCGAAGTCTGTAACGCCACCGGCTTCCTCGTGGCAATGCTTCGAAATTTTCATGGCGACCAGACCGTCGAGTTGCACATACTCGATGCGTTGAGAAGACTCCGCCGAAGTGCGTCTGGCTTCACCGGCCATTTCCAACCGCGGTTCGTGATTTCCTTTCGAAACGAATACTTATAGTCGCTCACACCGGATCGCAGTGCAGTCTCTGCAGCAGCTATAAACAAACGGTGCTGCGAGTATCGTCTTCGCACCGCACACTTCTCTCTCGACGACGACCGGCGATGATCTTTGCTGTTTCGACATCACTTCGAGCGTGGAGGTGTGGATTGGAATTCCAGCGATCTTCGTGTGAGTGCTCTATCCCGATCGATCGAGAATCTCTGACTAGCTATCGATTAAGGTCTTTTCTCATCGTTGTGGCGGCGTTGATGCTTGTCGATGCAAAGATTTTCCCGTCAGCATTGACGGCGCGTAAATTCGAACCCGCCCAACGACGCTCAGCAGGGTTGGATACGTCAATCGTCAGTCAGCTGTCAGTGCGGGGCGTCAAAGGAACTCGAATTTCTGTCACGTTCGGTTCTGATTCGCCGGAGCGGAAATTTCCTAGAAAATGCTGGTCCTCGTCTTAGGAGATCTTCACATTCCCCACCGAACCCACAGTCTGCCTTCTCAGTTCAGAAAAATGCTTCTGCCGGGAAGGATTCAGCACATTCTATGCACAGGTGAGTTACCGAATATCGCTGCCTCTGCGTTGCCACGAACTTCCCCCTTTTTCGATTGGATCAGACGCCTCGACTAGAAGCTCCCCCCCCCCAGTATGAAGATCGACTTCGCTCTGGCCGGAATTTATAGCCGGCGTTTCCCGTTTCCGGATCAAACTGGAATCTGGCCTTCCCCCACTGTTCCATTCGAAAACAATGAAAGGAAAAACGTGGATAGGGCCAGAAATCATGTGCTTAGTAAGCGATAGCCCTCAAGCAGCAATGAAATCTTGGTCGATTCCATCCTTTATCTCCATTGGCTCCATCCGACCCTTCGCTAAAGAGAGTTTCACTCTTTTGCAGGGAATCTTTGCACGAAGGAATCGTACGATTACCTGAAGACGTTGGCGTCCGATGTACACGTGGTTCGAGGTGATTTCGATGAGAACTCCAATTATCCCGAACAGAAAGTAGTCACCGTAGGTCAATTCCGGATCGGTCTCTGCCACGGGCATCAGGTCTGTGAGATCCATTAGAGTCGTTCGCCCTGACCTCCATCCTTCACTCGCATTATTCTGCTTCACCGTAGTCCTCGTACAGGCTGGGGCTGCCCTGTGGCGGATCGAGCACGGGCGATCCCGCTCAATGTTCGAGGTTTCGAGAGAATGAATTCCTCCCCAGCTACTCGACTGAGGAACAATACGATCGATCCGTATTCTTTCCAGATCGTTCCTTGGGGGGATATCGAAGCTCTGGCTGTGGCGCAGCATCAACTAGACGTTGACATTCTCATCTCTGGACAGACTCACAAATTTTCCACGCACGAGCATGGAGGACGATTTTTCATAAATCCGGGATCAGCGACCGGAGCATATTCGGCCTTGGAGAGCGATGCCGTACCATCATTCGCCCTCATGGACATTCAGAGCAGTACGGTGGTCGTTTACGTGTATCGTCTGATAAACGGTGAAGTCAAAGTCGAACGGACCGAATACAAGAAACCGTGACTTTATTAAAATTAGCTTACGTCGGGATCGATTGCGCTAGCAGGCGTCGCTTTTGACGTTCGATAGCTCGTTATTGATTCGAGCCTTGTTTAATTTCTACTAGGTTCTTTGTTTATTTGGATGTGACAATGAGATCAGGATGTGACGACCAGACTTTCATGCTGCTTCAGAGCTGATGCTACATCGATATATGTAAAAATAAAAGGACGTCTCTATCCCTGAACTTCTTCGTGGTCATTGAAGCTCGTTCCTCGACAGCCGTGGGGGACGTCTGAGGTATTCGCAGCGGCATCACTCTCGAGCCGCTGGGTGTATCATCACAGATTGCGATGTGGAGCGAGGGTCGCTACAGAGAAGAGAGTCGGGGGAACCATGCTTCCTTCGGATTTCGGATTTTTTCGGTTGCAATGCTCACGCATCAGAATCGGCCCACGACCTATAGATGACTGCCAAGGAACGCGCCGATGCAGTGTATTGGCAAACGAAATCTGTCGTCGGGGGTCCTTGACACGCTCCAATCGGAGATCGCCAATGGTTGAGCGTGGCCTCGAATGACCATAAGATCGAGGGACATCGCCAAGTACAGTAGAACCTCGTTATAACGGACTCCAAGGGACCTGCCGAAAGTGTCCGTTATAACCGGAGTCCCTTATATCCGACCGAGGATTTTGGGTAGCCTATGAGCACTCTCACTCTCAGAGTTCTCAATGGGTATGATCATCGCTCTCCGCCGATGATGGACGTGAGTTTCGTGGACTCGAACACAAGAACGCGCCCCACGAAGTGTACAGAACGGTCTCACTCTTTATTGTTGAAGAAGGCGCGAATACTCGCTTGTCGGGTGTGATTGCTTCTATACTCGATTAATTTCTCAATGTCCAAAAGTTTTTGCTGTGATATTTCACTGTCTGTCAGAGTATAAAGGTACCGTTGCAGCGTCTCATCAAGGACTGTTTTCGTATCGATGCTGAGCGCTTTCAGTTTTACTTTATCGGACATAGAGAGAGAACTTATCCAACTCGAGTCGGCAGATTCGATAAGCGACTGCGCTCAGTTTGTGAACAGATTCCGCGTTCCGCTTGTAATTATGAGCCAGCCGAACCGTGCACTCGCGAATCATGTGCACTTGTTATGATGCGAACGATTCGAGCACTGAAAGACTGCAACGGCTCTCACACTCGAATACCGGAGGATCGGTCCGTTGTAACCGTACTAAACATAAGGAGCACTATAGGATGCGGACTCCGGAAAAGGTCCGCTGTAACCGGAAGTCCGTCATATCCGAGTCCCCTCTATCCGGCTCTCTCAGCATGGTAAACTATAGGGACTTGGTCGGGACCGCCAGAAAAGTCCGTTTTAACCGAGGGTCCGTTAAATCCGGGCGGAGAACACTCGATCCGCCCCGCAGTCAGCAGCTCATCGATGCTCCTTGTCCCGGGACGTAGAGCGGAAATCATGGCATGAGCTGAACCAAGACCGCCGCTGAACCAAATGACAGTTATGAGCTTCCTATATCATCGATCCATGAACAGGTTTTCTGAAAAAAAAGGCAAGTACTCTCCGACGACGATTCATCTCTTTCGAACGCTACCAGCTTTCTCGCATTCGAGAGGAGAGCTTCTCTTCATTGGACCGTCTGAAAGTTTTTTCGACTTGAGGCTGAATCAAACAAAGCGAGTCATAACGCTCGAGCATAGCGCGTACGGGGTTACCTTCGTTCGAAGTGCCAGGTCGAGCTTCTGTGGCCGGACTTCGGAGAATCTGACCATACCGCGTACCGGATGCATAAGGCAACCCTATTGGGCAGGCCCTCCGCGCGGTATACGCGCTAGGCACTCGACCATATCGTCGGCTGCGCGATGCACTGCCGGCCTCGGATTACGCAGCTCGCAGCTCACTCGATTCGTAGAATGTCGAATGTCAGTTGCGACTGGCCTGCTGATCCGCATCGTTTTGCCTCGGCCACGTATTGCAGGAATAGAGAGTCCTTCTCTAGAGATGCGGACCACTCTCTGATACCCGCTGCTCCGCGACCTATACGCTCCTCAGCATCAATCATCAAATGCAAAGATCATCAGATCTGGAAAATGATCCATCGATTATCGATTCTACGTCTCGAGGCCTATCCCAGAACGTCATAATTGTCTATCGCCCGGGCCCGCCGGATACTGACGAGGACGAGTATCGAAAACACCCCTCCGGAGAGCTTTATAGCCTCGACCCTCGGAGGAAGATGCTTCTGTGTTATCGAACTGCTCCCGAAGCTCCGTGACATCTGTCACTCAGCGGCTCAGAGCCGACCGACTTACACGTCTGCCTGTCGCAAGAAAAACATGAATTTTCGAAGGAAGCTTCAGACGCCTGAGGCGTTGTGACAAAACAGATGGAGTGACCGATAGGCGTATACAGAAGAGAAAACGAAACGATGGCATCCCGCGATGTCCCGCCCGTGGCTGATCTCCTTGTTCCTCCGCTGCGCCTATCCGCAATGAGTGAACTGAACAAAGAGGCGAAAGTGAGACATCATTCGGAAGCGTTCCCTCGTCATGGTGAAATCGAGGCATCGGGGCAACGAGAATGGATGGAGCTACTATCCACGGAAATTCGCTGCTCTCTGAATCGGCAAACGGCTGCGGACATTCATGGGAACGATGAGCAATAATGTAAAGTCGGGACTGCTCTGGAAAATCACTTCCGCGCTAGCACCAAAATCGGTGAGGGAGGAACCCTCTCTCATGGTCTTGAACCTTTAATCTTTGTTAAGACGGAATTCATCTTCCGCTATCAGTACGAACGTAAGGGGGTTGTCAGCGAGTCTCGGTTCAGAGAGTGATCCCTTCCGACGCAGCGAATGAGCCTTCGGTTCCATTTATCGTACTTATCGATACACTGAGCATACGGGTCAATCAGCGGCCGAAGTGGCCTACGCAGTGACCAGGCGCAAGGGCGGGTCTTCCTCATGCATAGAATATCAGTCCTCCAGTCGTCGGCTCCAGATCTGGTGGTCGTAGAGATCTACGAGACGAGTGCTTCCCGGGTGGCTGCGCCTGCACTATCAGAGAAGAAGCATGAGTTCCGCGTCCAATGACGATGCCTCCTCATCCCCTCCGTTTGCGGTCGAAACCTAGAGGAGCGAATACCGTATGTCCACAGCTCGAATGACGAGGCTGAGTTTGTCAAAGTGCGATCGTTTACGGCGCTTGTAGTCGCCGGGTTCACCTTGTGAAGATAGTTCCGCATCTGATGAAATCGGTCACTGTTCTGAACAACGACCGTCGGAGGGTGTGGCAGGGCATTGCATGCTTGGAGCTCGTTACGCTGTGGTCACAAAATCATTTTTCAGCTATTGTCCCCCTTAAATAAAACGCCTCGCGATATGAAATTCGCACAAGTTGGTCCGCGACTCCTTAACGGCCATTCGCCAATGGACCAGGGTTCAAGAAAACGAACTCGGTCCCACCGCAATAGAGATCTCGATTCGCCAATCTCAGATGTCAGCAAACTTCCTTGAATAATTCCTTAGGTTCTCTAATATGAACGCCTGTTCCCCGGGCATATCAGCGAACGGGTTGCGGGTTGGGTCTCCAATGCCGAACGCAGAACAAGTCGCCGCCTCCAAGCCCCCTCCCGAGGGAGAAGTTGCGAATGAATCGCTCACTGTGGACCCCGCAAATGACTTTGAGACGTAGTATTCGGTCGAATTTATCCGAGTAGGGTTTCTTCGTGTGGCATTTCGTGTAGCGATGATCCCGCAACACAGCGGGCCGGAATGTAATTTTCGGAAATCCAACGTGAGAACGCACCCATGTGATGTTCGGGATTACACCGTGAACGTGTTCGAATTTCAGATGCGTTTTGAGATATCAGACCAATTTCCCATTATGTTCATTCCCTCTTCTGAATAAGGTACGTGAGCTGTATGAGTTAGATGCGAGATGTCAGCAGGGTGGCCCCGAAGATTGCGACCGGCCCGGGGGACGGCTGCCGTCATATCAGCGCGACAGAAGGCAAGAGAGTGGGCGCCGCGATTAAGGACGAATGACTCCGACTGAGTCGGTTGGGTTATACGGATGAGCCGGTTCCAGCGCTCCCTCTTCCCCGCAGCACAACCCGAGAGCGCCAAGTCCACCATGACGACATCTTAGACAAAATAGACAAAACGAGCTAACGCTTTTCAGTATCCTGGCGGTATTCATTCATTTCCCGATCAGAGCTCGATGCATTGAACGTCCCCAATGTGTACTTATTGACCAATAGTTTCTTCTTGAATCGGACTCAATCGGAGAAGCCAGCCCATCCTGAATGAAGCCTCGATATGAGAGACTATTGTTCTCTCTTTCGAGACACCAAGATTTCTGTCATTCAGATCTCCTTTGCGGACACGTCATCACGGCGCGGTGAGTTTCCTTTGTTTTTCCGCGTTTAGTGTCGGACCCAAAAGACAAGAGCTCGCCTCGAACTGACTCGAGATCTTTGTTCATATGATGTTCCTCCAATCAACATACTGCTCCGGAATGGGCAATCGCTGACAATGGGCCGCGAACGTCCCTTGTATTTCAAACAGGTCGACAATGGCTCAGCAGCGGTGTTCTCCTCGATTTCGCTGCCTCTTCCTTTATCAGGTCTGTCTGCGGGGCTGGGGATGAAACGAGTTCCAGCCCCTCCTCGAACTTCACTCCTCAAACGCTCGGCTGAGGACCTAGTCATCGACTCCGAGCCACCTCCGGAACCAGTCGCTGCCTCCGCTTCTTCGCTTAACCAGAACTATTCCGCGGACTTCCTTGGAGTCCGTACTGAGTTGCTACAGGAGATCATCCCCGTTCCTTTATCGATCGTTCTCCCGCTGATCGTTTCAGCGTCCTAGACTGTCCCGGTCTACATGGCGTCATGGATATCACGGAGATAGTGCTCAATTACGTTGGGACGTCTCTACAAGGCGCTCAGACGCGAAAGTCTCCCGACGCGTCGAGTCATCGATTCTCGAGGATGAAGCTGACAGGCGGCTACGGGAATTCTCAAAAACGGTGATTGCTCGATCGCAGGCATATTTCCCGCTGCAAATCCGGAGGACGGTCGTCGCGAGCATCGAGGGAGGAAGAATCGCAGGAGTCCTCCCTGTTCGGAGCTTGCTCTTTTCTTCCGAGAGAATGCCGGTGGCTCTCGCCGCTCAGCACGAATGTACGGCGCTCTCTCGCTTCCTTCCAAAATGGCGATGGTCCTGAGAACTGCTCCCACACGGTCACCAAGCTTACTGGATCGATCATGGAATTAAAGAAGCTCTGAAATGCTCTGTTCGGTACCGGGTGTGACTCAAAGTCGCGAAAGTTTTGTTATCGGTGATAGGTTGTTCGTTTATGGAGGCGAGGCGCTTGATACCAGGGGCAAAATTCGGAGGTCCGCGCGATACGGTTCGATTCGGAGAGCTCACGAGTTCCATCATATGAACGATTGAAGCGGCAGTATCTTGAGCTAAAGTTTCTCAATTGATTCGGATAACTATCCGAATGGGTTCAACGAGTTCTGTGCTACAGTGGCATTGTCAACACTGCCGGGCGATCAACACGACGGAGAACGCAATTTGCGTTCGATGTGGCTCACGTCGAGGCGCCTACCACGATAAGAGACCTCCGCCCGTTCCCTCTCGACAGTTCAAAATTTCAAAACGCAACATCGTATTCGAGAGCCATCTCTACGACGACGCGGAGGGATGTGATCCTCCGCCAGTTCCTGCCCACAAGAGTACGGAGCTGAAGGAGCCGTCGTCTTCGCATCTGTACGCGGAATTAGATCCGGAGGAGGAGGACAACAATGGAGAATATGCCGTGCTCGAATATCCCGAGCCGCCAAATATGTACCCAGGTCGTCAGCCCGCGAAGCAGGAGCCCATATACGGTTAGTACACTCTCCTCATTCAAGCTTGTTCTTGGACTTGTCGACAGCGAAAAGAGTGAGCATCCCGTGGAGCGGCGTCGGTAGAAATCTCAAGCGGTGCGAGAGCAATCAGTCCTGAGCGCTACCAATCGTTCAGTCAGCGGAACGATGAACTCGTTTAGATTGTTCCCTCGCCTCGAAGCATGATCATGGCTCATCAGGTCGGGGTTTCAGGTCCTCACAGGGACATTGATTGAATTTGATTCTGAAATTCTAGGGGTTATCAACAAAGTTCGCAAACCTCCTCCACTTCCACCGCCCCATGCTTATCGCGCGCAACAGGAAGGCGTTTACTATTCTGAGGTCATCGAAGAAGATCTCGATCACCTGCCACCTCCATTGCCCCCACATAAGGGGGAAATGGATCTCTCCAACGAAATTGGCAAATGGTACTGTCTCAACTGTAGGATTTGGAACACGTCTAGGGACTCTTCATGTGTATATTGTGCGATGCCATTCAGCGATGATGTCGTTGCGACCGGAACAGGCTCGCGATGAATCGGAACGTGATCTACTTGCCAATCCGATGATCCATTCCTGGAATCTCGAGATGGAAGCGCCGCACAGTTTTCGAGCCCAGATGGGGATCGATCTATCATATTTCGCCCACAACTCCCCCGACGGGAAGCTGTGCTTGGATGATATTCGAGCGAGCGAAGTTATTTGGACGAATGTTGCCCTGCTCCGGAATAAACTCGAATGGATGGAGTCGATGTTTGTAAATGCCGCTGCGTTACATCTTATTTCCTCATCCTAGTGCGAATCATGATCTCCCGCGGGGCATTCCAAGCGTGAAGGTTGAAAGAGCGGGATGGGGTAGCCGGGAGTGCTCTCAGACTGCCTAGTCTAGCATGACTTGTTCAGACCTCCGCTGCCGTTTCTTTTCCTGGGGAGGAACCTTCGGATAGGGGAGGAAAAAAACGGAGTCGGATTCATTGTCTTTATTCCAGTGCTAGTGAATTCCTCTAAACGTCGACTCCACCTTTGAAGGTTATTTAACAAGATCGATTGAAGTGAAGTAACGAAATCGCCAAGACAAGGACCGGGGTACTCCCCAACAGGCTACATCCCGTCGATGAGCATCTATGAACAAAAGCTCCGCACTGTTCTTCGGCGAATGGAGCACTTATTCGTTTTATGTGCGTCTCAAAGAACTGATTGGCGTTTTCTCCGCAATCCTGGGTCAAAAACTGCTTTTTGCACTGGAGGTATTCATGGAAGGTGCTGTAATTCGAAAATTACTCCTTTAGCCTTCAGCTTACATCCACGGCCTTTGCGTCAGGGAAAAACGGAACTTCCGCGCTCACCAACAGTTTTTTATCAAAACCCGCTCAACGGATGTTTGATCCGTGGCCTCCTTCGGCGGCTGGTCGTGGGAGATATTGAGGACTTTTTTGAAAACCAGGCCACACTTCCGATCATTGTTTGTGATATCCTTGTCGCATTGAGCAAACTTCAAATATTCTGCGAATCGATCCATGAAAATATTAGGCCTTCCCTCGCTAGCCATTCAAGCTCTATGTCGTGCGGGCATGCCAATTCGACTCTACTGGACCTGGACACACCTCGCTGAAGATCGGGATTCCCACAGAGCTTGCTGAGATATTGTCTGGGTGTAGCCAACACTTGGTTGAAAAGCCGACTCTGCTGCTCGGTGAAGCACCGCGCTTGATGATGGTCGATGCAGGCCACAGTCTGCTGCCACTTCCTAGGAGGGTAGGAAAGACAAGGTTCCAATCAAATTCGTCGGAATCTTCGCATGATTTGCGGATCTTCTCACATCTTTCTTACAGAGACTCACCGGCACATCTTGTTCAGGTCGTCGATAGTCGCCTGTTGCATGTTCGACTCCGACAAATGATGAATGAGCTTCATGCACCTCTGGTAGTGGCGATTTGAACATTCCTCGTGGCGACTCGAACGCGCTCCTGTGAAACATATATCGCTCTGTCAAGCGTCATTATCGCTCAATCATCGAAGCAGCCAACCATTGATTTCAAGACAGGGATTAGCTCGGGAGAGAACCTCCGCAGGGTGAACGACTAGACGGAATGGTGGACTTCAGCGAACTTCTCTCCCCACTCGTTCGTTTGTAAAGCCAAGAGAGCGCGGAGAGACCATCAATGGCACGCATGACATTTGTCGGAAGACCAGCCAAAAATCCGGGGGAATTGGAGTGCGTGAGCCAATATTTAGCCGGAGACGTGTGAGTTCGCATTCAAACTGTTATCACTCTGGACTTCCGGCTCCTTCGCGCCCAAGCGCTCAATATCGATAGCAATTCGGTGGACATAACCTTTAGTCACTGACTCCGCTCGAACGAGCCCGGAGTGAAGGGAATGAGCAGCCAGGCAGCGTGCGTGACACGCCAAATCAAAGACTTATCGGAACCGATCGAAACCCCAAAAGACTTTCATGTCTGTGAGTGTACGCGTGTGTCTGCGTGAATTCCACAGCGTGCTAGATATTCTCCTATGGACAGTCTCCGGCCGGGCTGATCGGTATTTCAGAAACTCCCGAATAATGGAATCTGTATCAATTTTCGAGCGACATAACATTGACGACATGTGAGGTCGAAATAGCTCTTTAGGTACACTGATCGTGAACGTAGCGCTGCTTTCCTGGGATCCGATTGGATTCGTGTCGTTTCGGCAAACTCCAACGTCCGAGAGATTGCTACTGGAGTAAGAAAGACGCTGCTGAAAGTGGCTCCGGGTCAAAAACTCACTCCGGGGAGTGGGGCGAGCGATGACGGATAGCGTATCCTTCACCACCGAAGTCTGTTGTCGCTAAACTTCCGACTATCGGCAGGAATATTGATCCCTTGAATGCCTTAGCAATACTATCCGGAGACCAACGGAATTCCTCAAAATCTCTTCGAATTATTCTGATCCTGAGGAGAGTCTGTCCTTATGGATGGGATGAGTATCGAAGGATGCAATCCTGAATGAAAGCTTCTGTCGTTCTCCCCTGCACATACCTATATGCGGGAATTTCCCGCCGAGAAAGTTTCGTCAATGAATGCGGCCGTTGATGACCATTGTGCAATTGTTGAGGTGATTTGAGAACAAACGATAGCTTGGCGTGACCAGGTTCCGAGACAGGTACACTTCGAGTGCAAATCGGCACTTCATCTCTTGCTCTTCCTTACTGCTCATTTCAACACTATTGTGGATCCAGTAGCCGGAGAGGCGATTTGAACCCCGTATGCCCCATACGATCCGAGCTGCGTGTCAGGTGTATCGAGACAAATTGATGCTTGTCTTGTATACCATGCGTTTGCCTGATATATATCGAGCACAAACGGCAGCATCGACAGCAACGGCAGTCCGCACAGCAGTCTGTCTGCGACCAATCAGAACCGGGGAACAGCCTTTAAGAAACCCCCAGAGAATACGCTGCCGACGGTACAGCAACAGGCCATCCTAATTCCACCGCTGCCATACATGGAGCTTGATCAGATGTCGAGAACGAATTAACGGATATTGCTTTGGGATTCGTTCTTCTCGCCAGTCCATTGAGTTCGCGGATCGTGGGGTGCCTATTTCAATTTAGTCTTCCCGCCCTGCGTTTCCCCGCTCGCGGCCCGAGCCCTGATCTCGGCCTAAGCGTCATCGAAGATGAACATCGAGCACATGAAATCTTGCGTCCGGCTATCATCGTCTCCCGCGGATCGACGTAAAAATCCCCACGTCCTCGCCGCATGTGAGACCTGTCCCGTGATCTTGGCCGTCCGATGGAGAACTCCTTGGCTATGACTGTTATGGAACGATCAAAATGGAACTCTAAAACGATCCCCGGACACCTAATATTGAATTTGAAGTTGAAAACGACAGTGGCTCATTGTCTACTCGAGATTCCACCCCCTTGTTCGTAAGAGCTCGCAGCGGAGCTCGCTCGCGGGGGAATCACATCAACTGTGAGCTCGTCGACTGCACGGTGTCGCTCGTCACCTGATGCATACCAATGCGGATTTCGACAACCAAGCCTCAATGCGAAGACGCAAAACGAGTTAAATCAGCAAGAGCACGCGCTGCAACTCTAGACGTCGCGTGCATTTCAATCTCGTGACTCTCACTGCGCTCGACGGAGTGGTCGGGCGGTCATCTCCAGCAGCCAGGGCTCGTCCCCGGAAGCTTGTCCTCCGATAGTTCGACCGACAACAAACCGCGCCGAACTTGGGACTGGTTCGGTTTGTCGCTGTGCCCTGACCGCTGACGGTGGTGACACTTCCACTTTACGAGATGTTGATCTGCGGTCGGCTCTCCAATGCGAGAATGAGCTCCGGCCGCCAAATCGACTCTGTGCACCTCGTTTCAGATTTAAACGAGAAACACTGACGTCGAGCGAGGCATCTGTTCGGCTCGAGTGAGGACGCGCTCCGTGATCTCCCGCGAAGCTCTGTTGGAGCAAACCGGGTAGCTCCGACAGAGAAAATGCCCCGGCGGGCGGCGGAGAGAGCAGAGGAATCTGTAAATCATTTCTACTTGTTCAGACATCCCCCGGTCTCAATCTTTCGACTTGAACGGCCGGCGCTCGCCACGCTGGCCCGGACATAACCCGAGCGATGATTCAATCATTTCGATCATCGAGAGGGTAATCGAAGTCGTCTCGGAATGCCTCTGAGTATAGGCCCACTGTTGCTACGTGGCCATAAATAATGTAGCTTGCCTCACCCCTCCCCCCCCTTCTTTCCCTCCCGGACCCGCTTGACCGGAACTGTGTCTTGCCCTGAACCACAAAGCACCTATCGATGGAACAGCAGTAATAGTAGTCGATCTTGACCGTATGACTGCATCCGAAGTCCACGGGCGCGGCCGTTTATCAGCAGCGGACAGTGCGCTCCGAAACCTCGAGACACGCATCGTGCATGCATTACCATGACAGTGGAATCACTTCTTGAAAAGCTTCGGACGAATCAATTCGAATGAATCGTCTACCCTCTCTCACCATCACGAGAACGCCTGTTGGCTTGAGGAATCGCGACTGCTGGTCTCGCATGAGCGCGAAGGCGGCTCTCGGATTATCTCACGGGATCGTCCGTTCACGAGCCGATCAACTATGCGTTAAGTTGTGAACCGACATGAGCATGTGGGTATTGAGATTCAATGATTGCAACTCCAGAAATTTTCTAAATCCGTATTCTAGGTTTTCTCCAGTGGTGGGGGTATCGGATTCGGAAGATCTCCGATGTTCAGCATGTGACTGCTCGGAATCATCACCGCTTCCCCATGTCCGAGAATAAGTTGAATGTTCTCCTGCGTCGGATTCATAGACATACCCACGAAACTATATTCGCAAACATTTCAACTCTCAAAATGGAGTTGCGGATAAACACAGAGAAAGCACGATTGACCCGACGAAGTCTTTCGCGGAGAACGGGGGGGGGCTGACCCATGGCATTTTTGTCAGGTAGTTTCCTTCAAGATAAGACAATGAGCAACTAATTCATGGATCCCGGAAGTGCGGTGCAGACCCAGAGCTCGCCTCCCTTTCGGTTGAAGAAAATGACTTCCGTAAAGAGATGGAGCCAACCTGGCCGAAAACCTCCTTACAGGATGATACACTCTAGCTTAGGCGGAATCGTCGGCCATCGCTGCGAGGAACCAGAGAAGTTTCCGTCGCTCAGCCCATGCCCGCAGGTTGGCCCACACCGGGACAGTTTTGCTCGAATAGAATCGATGCGGTCAAAGCATGCGGTATCGGCGCGTGTGACCTGTTGGAGTCGGTGAGTGGCACTACCTTTCGTCAAAAGAGGCGCGAAAAACGAGCCGACGCAATTCATCGATTGCGGAATTTCTGAACTGGGCTTGAAACGGTTAGGCAATCTCGGCCCATCCCCTCCGCAGAACTGATTGGCTTCGCCGCAGCGTACCGGTGTACCCACAGAGGACTAGGAAACCGTTGTCGCTCGTCTTTTTGCGGCAGACTCCTCACGAGCGGGGGGTGTCTCAACGCGGTCCCTTCTCTGCGAAACACTGCGCCATACATGGAATACATTCATCTCTGGAATGGGCGTCATGAGGTCTCCCACATCATCCCGCGATCCCGGGATCGAGAAGTCCTTATCGTATCCTCGAGTCGAGAAGATCCGCTCTGTGGTGGCGAAACAAGAGGAATTCTTGATTCGAGGCCCTTTTGTCATTGCTCATCCCACTGTATGAATCTGAGATGGCTGAGTGTTTGCCTGGTACTAACAGAGGATGTCTCCAGATACGACGACGGAGGCAGTTTTCGCGTTTTCAGATCCGAGACTTGGCTCAATACTGGACGCAGGCTCGACAGCGACTCACGATCAGCGAGACGGGCTCGATCACGGCCAAACGAATTCTCTCTTTTTCTCCTCATTATCGGAAGACTCCTTTCCGACCGATAGAGTGACGCTCCGTCAAGCGCACGATACGACGTCTCCCGACGTCAGGATCTCCCTATCCCTGGCAAGCGAGGCGGCTCACTGTACCCGGCAGGCAAGAACCGTCATTCCATCGGGTTCGTGGTTTTTCGGGCTTATTCTTCCTAAAAGTAGTCTGATCGCGTCGACTTCGATAATACGGAGCGTGAGTTATCCGAATGGCGAGTACTCCAAGTTTCGCCGTGGACTAAGAAATTCGATAGAGACGCGCATTGACTGCGTCGGAATGATTTCCGATTCAAGCTCTAAGGGAACTGTTTCCTCGCCCGACGGCAACACTGCTTCTCGCGAGCAGTGATTACTCTTTGTCCATTTCTCCCTTTCGTCTAGAGCTCAGTCTGCCACGTAGATAAGGATCTTCTGCAGCTTGGAGTTGGAGACAATCTATTGCCGAGAGAGGATGAGCCGGCATGACGGACTCAGCGCATGGGTTACCTCCGGTGACCGACTTGCGTTTTTCCATTGATTCCCCCGTCCGCAGGTCGAAATCTCGAACGTAGACATGTGAGAGAGACATTGCCAGCGACGCTGCGGAGGATCCTGCGCAAAGCGCTGCGATGAGAGTCAGATCTCAGACAGTGGAAGCCGCGCCGCTTCGAAAGCTGAGATCGCAGGGAGCATTTCCCCGCGAACGAGTCCTCGTCGACGATTGCTTCTCGTATGATCCCTCGAGAGCGCAGCGTGGTCGTCATGTGTGTTGACGGATCTTGTGCTGGTCAGTTTTGACGCGTTCTCATTCAGAGCGCAAGTCTCAGAACACATTAATGAACCGCAAATCTCGAAAAATTGTTTCTCCGGTCAGCAACGCACACCAGGCCAGAATCGAAGTTCAGAACTGATTCTCTCGCAGGACTCAATCCTGAGTGTCGGGCAAGGATCGAGACCACCGTTGCGGTGGGATCCCTCCCTGATCAGAGGATAATGCTGACGATCTCGAACTCTACGCCGCACCATGACCACGATTTGAGGACAAAGTCATGGTCTCGACGAGGAAACTTCATTCCTAGGAGATCGGAACACGCGCTGAATATGAGTGCGTGTATGCATTCATGCCCTCCGAGAATCGGAAAGCGCTTCCAAGAGATAGCCCTCGACTCTGAAGGGACTTGTCGAGGGAACTCATCGGGAACGACTTCACCGGCGCATTAACACTGATTCCTCTCATGCAGAAAAAATCACTTGACAGCATCAGGGAAAACACTCCGCGAGCTGTGCGTTCATTGAGTAATCGAGTATTGAGTTGTAATCACAGCTCTGAGCTGGGATTGTCTCCGGAGCCAGTGACGCTGGAACGCATTCTACGCCCCCGTTTTCAAAAAACTTCCTCTTACCTTCTCCGAAGGAAGCCCACTCCACACAGCTCCAGGCGATGAGCAACAACACCGTTTCCCGTGTGAACATCGTGTTCTGGTGCAACTACGGGGTCTGGGAGAAGAGCTGGATTTCACACAAAACAGTGACAAGAAGTTTCCGCTTGCCAGATGAGCTATTCGACTCTTTTTCAGGACTGAAGTTTATGGGTCTCTTGCGTGGAAAAATCTTGTACGGGAACGCGCATGCGTCAGAAGGCCCCAGCTCCCGCCCAAGAGCCTTAGTGCCCGCCCTCGGGGCCCACGTTGTGCACTTAACAATACGTATTGATATCGGTTGCCATCATCACCTTCGACACGCGTTCCGTCGCAGTACCTGAAAGTTCGCCTCGACGAACCCCTTGCGAGAAAAGTATGATGCGCTGCGGGGTCTGTT